GCAGAGCACTACAGCGCCCCCTCTGTCAGATGCAGGGAACCCCCATTCACCCAGCACCCGTCCCATATGCCTTTAGAGCGCTTCCTCCAGTCCCCAGAGGCACAAAGCTCCCATAATGCATCAGGTAAAACAATCAAACTGCTATAAGTCCAACTTACTAAACTAAATATACTGACAAACCATGCTCTGTGTAGGTGTCAGTGAAGGAGCTAAAGAGTCCGAGGGGGATGCCAGTCTGGTGGGGTACCCCTGGTTTCACGGGACCCTGTCGCGTGTTCGTGCGGCACAGCTGGTTCTGGCAGGTGGAGCCAGGAGCCATGGGCTTTTTGTGATTAGACAAAGCGAAACCAGACCAGGAGAGTATGTTCTCACCTTCAACTTCCAGGGAAAAGCCAAGGTGAGTCATATCTGTAATAAATAATTGCTATAATTTGACTCTGTGTTGTTAATCAAGACAGCCATTTTTCCATTATATATGTATTTTTTATTTTGAAACAACACCTTCTTTTTGCAATATAATTAAGTACAGAAAGGGACCATTACAATATATACAACGTCATTACAAGTAATATTAGGCAGCAATGGGAAAAGACACACCGCATCCAACATGTCACTAACACATGTTAAATTGATAAAATGTGTTTTCACAAATCATTTTGCTACAGTTAAATAAATAAAGTGATCACTTGTCTATTCCTGTTTTAACTTCCAAACCCACAATGCACTGAGCAAGTGATGATTTCTGTTTCAGCCACCAAGGTGTAACCTTTAATATTTCTATTCAGTACAGATTTTTAAAAATGTATGTATTATAATTTCATAGGGACAGGTATGCTTCATGAACTCATGTTGCACACTGCAGCATTTTAGCCAGGAGTAAAAATAAACAAGATTTCAAACCATTGTCCTTAAAGTAATTATTTGTAACCTTATTTGTATTAAGTGCATGCTCTGCTTCACATCACATCCGGGCAGAGCTGTGCAGAGGAAGTGTCATCCTGCACCTCTTCCTCTGGTGTCAGCCTTGGCATTCATTCCCACAGAAAAAGGCCTTGAGGAGATCTGACCTCTCACAGTTTTTAGTGTTTAGATTTTTTAACCTTCACAAAATCACAAACTGTTCCTACCATGTCTCTTCTATATTTTCTCATTTCCAGCATTTGCGTTTGTCAGTGAATGATAACGGCCAGTGTCACGTTCACCATTTGTGGTTTCACACGGTTTCGGATATGCTGAGGCACTTCCATGCCCATCCCATCCCCCTCGAGTCTGGAGGCTCAGCGGACATCACACTGCGCTCCTATGTGCAAGTACAGAGGAGCAACAACACAGGTACGTGAGGTAATGCACAACAACCTAACCCTAAATTTACTACATTCATTATTTTTATAGTCTCAAGATGTTATGTGAGAAATGTTATTTATGTCATTTATATACTTTGTACTTTATAAACATGTTTTTAAGATGTTATTAAACACTGTATACCAACACTGCCAACAATAAAAACAGAAAAAAACAGGAGGACATACATCTATCAGACGCATACATGTGTCCTTAAAAATAGGAGAACATTTAGTCAGACATTGGGGTCGACTGGCGAGTGCCTCCCTTCCTCTTACACTGCCCTGAGCATTGCTGGCATGTAATGAATGCCCTCCTGTACAGGGGAGTGAGGGGGCGATTATACCACCACAATTTAGCATGCAGGGCCTGGAACTGGCCACAACCCACCCACAACCCACCCTGCCAGTCACAATGAGCCCCTGTGTGCCTGCCCGCTGGACCTACACACTTCCACATGCGCACATAGACTGTTTTGCCTCTGAGTGTAAAAGGCTTTATTGATACACTTATAGTCATTGACTTGTTGTTGGTGTAATTGGCCATTTGGGAGAAAGGATAATAAAAGAGCCATACTATGAGTCTGTGTTTTTTTAGTTGCAACAAAAATACTGTATGCTTACTTATGAGCATAATAATGAGTCATGTCAAGTTACATTTACCTACTACTTTTAAGTACTATACCTGAAGTAGGTGTGGAGTATTTTGGGTACCTAACTTTGTAGTTTTAATGTTATAGGCCTATACACTTTCTGTATTTAATGTCATTGGACGATAGTAGATTTAGAAAAATTGTATGCCTCTGTGTTGATCCAATATTAGAAATTACTTCAGAGATGGACAAAATGGACAATGTTTTTGCAATCAAGATATTTTGATTGACATTATCAGATTTTTAAAACATGATTTTCCTACGAATTATTTAGATATCTACTTTATACTGGAATCAATTTATTTTGCAGTAACAGTACTTGTGACTTTTCAACTCAACATTATTAAGGTGTCTTTTTTTTTTTTTTGGTACAGATGCCCCTGATACAGCACCTACTCCCCCCAGAGAGGCCAACTGCAGGACAGAAGCATCTCAGCCAACTGCCCTCCTGTCCACTGTCTCTACAGGACCGCCCCAGGACACTCCTCTGTCTTCGAGCACCTCTTCCTCACCCACTGCCCACCCCTCTCTGTCCCGCAGCGACCCGGGCACAGGAGGGGGGCTCCAGAGTCGCAGCAACAGCTCAGAGCGCCTCCTGGAGGGTTCTAGTGGGGGGTCTGATGACTATCACGACTCAGATGGGACACGCAGGGCCCGGGCTGTGGAGAACCAGTACTCTTTCTACTGAATATCCCATTGGCTGGAGGCTCTCACTCTACTCCCTTATTTGGTTTGTTTATTTGCTTGTGTTTATGCCAAGGCATTTCCTGTTTCTCTTATCGCAGAGTGAGGGTCAGGCTGATACATCTCTGGAGGTTGGTCACTGCTTTACATAATGTAGTGGGACCTTAAAGAGAAAGGTACTTTAGAAAGCTTTAACTATAGGTTTAGGAAGTTCTCTTTTGGGGCCATATGGCTTTGATTCACTCGTCCGACCACTTCCTGCTCATTCTTACCCAGAATTCCCTGAGAGCATGAGCTTGTGTCGCCACCCAGAACAAGGATCAAGAGCTCAAAGACTGTGCTCAGAGCGTCTAAATGTTTAGAAAGCTGCTTCAAGTCTATTGCCGGATATCTTAAGTGTTCCTATGAGGCTTCCCTGCTCTAGCTCTGATGTCCACTAGCATCAAAACAGCAATTGTTATCATGGAGTGTTAGTTTGACAATGTTTTCTTTAACATGTACCGCCTAAAATGTCCCAGTGCCTGTTAATTACCTCTGGACTTGAAAGGACTGTTGCCCTTAGCGACAGGAAAGCTTCTCTCAATGAAAACTATGTGGACACTAAACGACCCATGATCAAATGCAGGGGATAATTTGTGATCAGTTTCTGCTTAAAATGCATTGAACTGGCTAAAATGATTTAGTTCTCACCTTTGATGGCTGCAACAGTGACACAGGTTCTGACTGTGTTACTCTTAAAATGGTAGAGTGAATGAATGCCAACTGTGTTGAGGATGTGTGGTGATGTATTAAAATTCATATATTTTTCATCAGTTGGTGTGCTATGATAGTGAATCTCTAAAATATATTTTTGGACTCCCTCTGTCTGATCCTAACCCTCCTGATCGTATGAATATCAAAGAAGCAAACAATTTTGTTACCAAGTCCAGCATTTATCAGAGAGACAGATGAGGGATGTTTGGTTATTTTAGATAGCAGTATTTTAAACTGTACATTCAAGTTTGTATCACTTAAATGAAAGGGCACCGAATGGCCATGCTTGATAGGCTGATCAACACCAAGTGGACTGGTTTCAAAGTAAAATAACAATAACCCATATTTAGCAAGCAACACAACAATGCCATTGTCTGTACATTATATGCAATGTTATAAAAAAAACAAAAAAAACATATCATATACATTGAGGTAGCACCTTTTGTTCCTGCAAGCATGGTCATTAACCCTAAAATGAGCTGATATTTTCTGTTGTGGGGTAGAAGGAGCTAATGTGCCAATCTAAATCCTATTTTTAACATATTTATTTCAGCCGTTGTAAATTACATTTTTCCTGTTGAATCTTATTTATGTACAAATTGATTATTGTTTATGAGGTCCCTTGGTAGACTCTGTGTGTTGCAAAAGCCCATCTCACATATCAGCGTTTGCTCTTCTCCCTTGGATTTCTTTTCCTGTTGTCTGGCTGAGTTTTGAAGAGTCTGTGCAATTTTGTACAAAGTGATGTACTTGACATACTACTTTATATTTCTGTCAATAAAACGTGAATAAATTGGACAGTATGTGGTTAACATTATTTCATAAGATTTATGAAAACCGTAGAAAAGCTTTTAATTATTACTGTGTGAGGATTGTATAACACAAAACTATGCAAAACCATAGTTTTGCAAAGATAATTATTTAACTTTGAGATTGAATGACAGACACATACAAGCTATTCTCTAAAATTAATAAACCATTTTAGATTAAAAATGTCCAGTTTTGCAGAATTACTTTGGTGGTCTGGTCATTGCAAATGTGTATTTGGGTGCCTCCTAGTGGTTGGTCAAATGTTAAATAACATTTTATGGCATTAAAATCCTACTTAGTATAAATAAATACACACAGCTGCCACTTTCATTTCAAACACTGTTTATACATTATTGAATTAGGAGAAAGCACTATGAAGCTTAATATATTTGCTATTTTGCAGTGTATTTATTTGTTTATTGTAACCTTCTCAGAGCTCATTTCTTCATTCATTGCTGCTCTGTGACTGACAGATATGTGGCCACCAATCCATGCCAATGGCCTCCTCAGAAATCACTACTCCCACACAATATTTAGGGTTACAGTCCTGGCACTGGATTGGACTGCCAACCTTCCAATTGTAAGAAAACCTCCTATACTACATTAAATGAATTAAATTACGATGATCATTTCATAAAGTTCAAAGTAAACTTTATGTTCTATAATGAGCAGTTTCTACAAGTTAAAACTGATAGATGTTGAACAGATAAAAAGTGAAATAGGAACTGTTTTTTACATATTGTCTTTAATTCAAATGTGCATTACATTTTAACAAGAACATATTAATGATCACATACCAATCAAAGTTCAATAATCTGAGAATATTAAGTTAACTAAACCTAAATAAAATAATATCAGGAGTTTTTAATGTTATAGAGGATGAGCCCAGCTGATGCACACAACATAGTGGCAAGAATTTCTAAAATTTTTCTATGCTGCCATTCCTTCCTGTTCCTCTCCTGCAATTCTTGTATGCGTTGCTTCCTGGCTCTCATTTCTTGCTCTCTTTGCAGTTGTTCTCCATAGTGTGCTTTATAAAAGGCATCAAAATCATAAAAGACCTTTCCTCCTCGTTGGGAATATTGCCTGCTCCTCTGCTGCTGTGTAGATCCTGTTTGCTTGCTGCTGCTGCTGGCTTTGGAAGGTTTCCCTGCACCTCGGACATCAGACTCACTCAAGATGCCCCGATCGTATTTCCTCCTCAGATTGATGTTTCCCAGTACAGTGTAGGCCTCGCTGATCTCTGAGAAAGCCTGCGTTGCCTCCATGCTCTCTGGGTTTTTGTCAGGATGATATATAAAGGACTGTTTGTAGTAGGCTGTTTTGATCTGAGCCTGTGTGGCATGAGGGGTGACTTTTAGGATATCATAATAAGCAGTCCTACTTCTATACAGTGGCAAAGCATCAATGTTTTGGTTGTCTCTTCCTCTCCAGTTGTAGTGCCTGGTGTTGTTGCATGATTCTTGTTCAATAGAGGACTGCAGAAGTCTCTTGAATTTTTGCTCTGGTAGAACAAAAGCAAATGTGCAGAGAGCCTTGACCTGCTGGATGCATATGAAGGTATCTGGTTGTGCACAAAAAAACACTGTTCTTGTCCTGGATGCCATTCTGCCAGATAGACTAAATTGCCCCGGTGCCTTGAGGGAAACATACAAGATAATTTAATTTTCAGAAAAAGCAAATCTACAATACATGTCTTAGATAAGAAATAAAGTATCAGCTACAAACTTTCTCCTTATATTGCTTACAATGAGTGGACCAGAGGTTGTCCCGTAATAGACTGTTCTTCATGATGTGTTCACGTAGCCTACGTCCAACTCATACCACAAGGGACCCTGCACCTTGGGCCAAATAACAGATCAGTCGTATTCTGAGAGCTAAAAACGGACAAAAACTCTTCTGTTCATGTCCCCGACCTCTGCCATTTTACCGGAGAGATGGACGAAGACGGAAACCGCATCGACGTAACTGAAAAATCAACCAATCCAATCCTTTGTTTTACAGGAAGTAAAAACAGCTTTTGTTTTGTTTACAACATTTTCAACTCACCAAATGTTGTAGACGGTCTTTATATCGCAATGAAACATAGTTTATTGGATTTATTTATTTCAAAAGGGTTTTTGCTCTTGTATATTTTAATGTTAGATAACTAGTATTTTTATTGAACAGTAGATGGCGATGTAAGAAAATTTCCCCGTAGAAGAAGACACCTTTAGTCGCCTGTTTTCGACGTCATATTTCCTTCACGTGTTTAGATTGCTCGAAATAACAACAGTACAACATTTCTTTTTAATCTATTTGGTTTGTTTTTCTACTTCTATTTCATTTCACTTTACACAGTCATGGCCAGCAGTCGGCGGCCCGAGCATACTGCACCTCCTGAAGTGGTAAGTGTATCGTTTTTGGATCGGTTTTCGGTCAAGACAAGAGAAACACAACATTTCAACTTGGTTGAATTTGTGTACGGTAAACATTTTGAGTGATCTTTTACCTTGTTTCCAACAGTTTTACAATGACGAAGAGGCAAAGAAATATTCTCAAAAGTGAGTGCAGTTATGTGAATTACAACCAATTATTTTGTTGTTATCATTATCATTACACATTTACAAGCTGCGATTAATTTTGACATACATTGAGGTTTATTATTTGTTTCAAAGTGCATTGTATAAAATGTATGTAACTCTTTTGTTGCACAAAGCTCTCGCATGATAGAGATCCAAACACAAATGTCAGAGCGTGCTGTGGAGCTTTTGAACCTTCCAGAGGGACAGCCCTGTTACCTGCTGGATGTGGGGTAAGTTCCCGTCACTTAAACAGCTGAGTAGAGAAGGGCGTCAATCATACTATACATCACTACTACTATATACACCTGAGATTAATTCAGGATACACCTAATATATATTTGATGGAGTTTTTAACTCTGGGTGATAGGTGTGGCTCTGGGCTGAGTGGAGATTACCTCTCTGAGGAGGGACACTATTGGGTCGGAGTTGACATCAGTACATCAATGCTTGGTGAGTGATGAAAGATGAAAATGTAAAAAAAAAAAAAAAACTATGTATTTTTCCACATCCATTCTACGTTTAGTGTAACTATCACTCGCCATTAAAATACAGTAATAAAATGATAATATCCTTCCCTTCCCTTTTTCAGATGTAGCACTTGATAGAGATGTGGAAGGAGACCTTTTAGTGGGAGACATGGGACAGGGAATGCCTTTCAGACCTGGTACCTTTGATGGCTGCATTAGGTAAAGAATAATTCGGACTTGAAATAGAACCTTGTATTAAAAGTATTTAGAATCTAATGGAATCTCTTTCTTGACAGTATTTCAGCTCTACAATGGCTCTGCAATGCTGACAAGAGGACGCATAGTCCCCCAAAGAGACTATATACCTTTTTCAGCACTTTGTACTCCTCTCTGGTAAGTCATGCTGTCACGCTAAGTAATGTATGTTTAAAGTTGAGTAAATCCATTATAAACCTTCATCTGTCAGTCAAGGGGAGCTCGTGCAGTTTTTCAGATTTATCCTGAGAACTCAGAGCAGGTAAAATAATTATACAATCTTTTATAATGGCTATTTTAAAATTATATGTTATATATATGACAACAAAATAACAGAATTTTTTTTATTCTTTTCTAAAGCTTGAACTGATCACGACACAGGCCATGAGGGCAGGATTCAGCGGGGGCATGGTGATTGATTATCCCAACAGCAGCAAAGCCAAAAAGTTAGTCTTCTTCTAAGATATTGTGGCTACTTAAATTGTTATAGGTTGTGTTCACTATAGACATACATAAGAAACTTGCCTGGTGTAAAAGTAAGAACATGAAAAACATGAAAGCATGTCATATACACTCTAACTCTTGGAGTAGAATATTGTGGAACATTTTAGCTGGAACAGGATGTCAGCTACTATATGTACCCATGGCAATGATTCCTAGTGTTTACATATTGCTTTTGAATGAGGAACAAGTGCTTCAAGACTGTTTTTGTTTTTGAAAGATATATCCAAATATGAATGTCAAAAGGCAGATAGTTTGTCCTTGTTTATGTTTAGGATCTCTGTAATTCCCAAGCCTATCCACATGAAGCAAAAAAGTGCACTGTCTTAGTTTTTTTTTTTTTTTTTTTTTTTTTTTTTTTTTACAATAACTTAAAGTGTGAGTTGATAGGACTTTAAGACATAAGATTAATATGGTAAATTTGGCCCAGTCTGAAACAAATAATGATAATTTTAATCAATAATAAGTTGGGATTTGTGAGTTATGCACACCAAATTATTATCCTAGATTGTGAACATAACCTTTAAGTTTTGGATAACAATAACACAAGCACTAAATATAGTAAACATGTAATCCAAAATTACCTTCTTCTGATCTTTATGCAGATTCTTTTTGTGTTTGTTTGCTGGAGTGTCAGGAGTCCTTCCCAAGGTAAGAAAGACCCCATTTATTCAAAATGCTTACATTTTCACTCACTTCTAAATTTGCAATGTTTTTGAGTTAAGTGTGGTGTTTTCATTTTTAGGGTTTAGGAACAGAAACATCAGATAAAACTGTACCAAACCAAGTTCAGTATTCAGGACAAAGGTAATGGCTCTCATTCATTGATATTTAAAAAATATATACTTTTTTCCTTGTTTTACAGTCAAAGGTCTTGGCATACACAAAGTGCAGATTATTACTCCCCCTGCCTTTGGGAGCCATATGACCAAACATAAACACAAAGGAAAATCGTCCTGTCTATTTCAAAACACTAACAGACAGTTTTTCCAGCCTTTAACATTTATATAAATGTTTTGTTTTCAGAGGTTTATGTTGTTATTAATAATCTGTAAAGCTAATGTTCTATACAGATGTCGCTTTCAAAATATGAAGGGGAAATCAGCAAAAAAGGGTAAAGATTGGATCTTAGAGAAGAAAGAGAGGAGAAGACGACAAGGACGGTTTGTATATTTAGTAATGAATGCTGTGTTAGATATTTCATATAATTTGTTAATGGCTAATGTTCTTTTTTTTTCCTCTTTCAGTGGTGTTCGGCCCGATACAAAGTACACTGGACGTCAAAGAAGACCTCATTTCTAGCTGCTATTCAGCTTTTTTATTGCTTTTCTTCAATAACTTATCCTTGCCAAGGGCTAAAAGCTGTTGACTGAGTAAACTGTGATGCCAAATCATCTTAACCTCAGTCAAAAGATTCTATAAACATGTTTGCCATTGATAGTATAGTGGATTTTTCAAGTTTCAAGTGATTGTGAGATTGTGAATATTTTCATAATTGTAATTGTTCACATGAAATTTGAAAGAAGATTAAACATGGTGGAAAGTAACTGAATACATGTACCGAAAATCTGAATACACATTTTGAATAACTGTATTTCAGTACAGTTACTTTTCATTTAGTGGTATTCAGATTGCAGTGAACTTTTGATCACACAATTTAAACTTCCAACTGTATTAAGACTGTAATTGTGTATGGGTGAAAAATAGCGATAGGAAATGCATTACAAATGGTGAAAAAAACAAGGCTGTTTTAATCCTATGTTGGGTTTATACAGTAATTTAAATACAATCTTATGTGGAAGTATTTTTATAGTACTCTGAATCACATAGCAAAATACATTAAATACATAAAATACAGTATCACGTGGGTATTCCAGTATTCAGTAACTAAACTCAAAATTCTTCACATTACTGAGAGTGAACTTAAAGCTGCATTGTGTAACTTTTCTCACGTGAGGGCTGTCACCTATGGATATGTCATTGTTCTGCCTGGAATGTTCCACAGTATGACATGAAACAGATCTACTTTACATTTATTCAATTAAAGGTGGTCTGGTTTGGTCTTTATAAAGATAGAAAGCTTTATTGTCACACTGTGAAACATTCCAGAAAAAGCAATAACATCCCCATGGAGAAAAGCATTTGACCAACCCTCCACCAGAAATGTAACACAATGCACCTTTAAGAGCCACATTATGTTTATCAAATAAATAAACGTGCAGTATGAAATGGCACTGAAACTCATATTATTAACATAAACAGGTGTGGATTTTTTATTTTTTTTAATCGAGATTTGTCTTGCCTGTTTTGTGTGTGTGTGTTTTTAAGGGCTTTGTTATGTGACTGCGTTTGAACGCCAGAGGGCACCCAGAGTCTACTGTATTTTTATCCACACCTGGGCGTATCTACTTTGAACCATCTAAACCTGTTCAATCGATAACCAAATCCAACAGTAGGATTATGGATTGTGTCGGTCCGTCACTTTTACCTCCTGTGTGCGTTATTTTTAGTTCAGGTTACACTTTTGCTTTATGGGAGTGAAATGAATGGGTTATAAAAAATATTTTTTCAGTTTTTTAGAAACAATCAAGTAGCTTATAGTGTAAATTAAGAGGAAGTTGGCAGTGTGTAATGGGTTAACGGCGGAAGGCCTGGCCTCACCTTGTAGTGCGCGTCACCCGGCGGAGTGAAGCTGTGAAGCGGCCGACAGCATCATCATCTTCCAGAGATTCACCCAGACCGTGGAGAGGAGGGGGACCCGCGCTCTGTCTCCGCCGCCTCTCGCGCACTTCTCTCGGTGTCGCTCTTATCTGAATCGGTGAGCAGCCGCTGGAGAGCATCACACGAATTCTCGACGCTCCGGGAAATAAAGCCTCAAGAGTGAGAAGTGGACGGTCAATAAGGAGACATGAAGGACCGTATGCAAGAACTTAGACAGGTAAGTTTCTGTAAAAGCACATTTAATTTAAATGAACTTGTGGCTTTCGCTAAACAAGATAAAAGAAGGCGAAAGCCCGGATCAAGGGCTGAATGATGAAGGGAACACGGTGCAACAGTTGTGATTTGTGGCTTTGATGCTGAGGCGAATTACAGGCAATAAGCATTTTGATCACTAAGTGGTAGCCTATGTATTAAACCTTAGGGAGTCAAAACAAAATGCCTCATAATTTATAAGCAACTAATTACACCAACGTTTAAAAAAGAAAGAAAATACTTGTAGAGATTATAGTCCACTCTGGAAATGATGTGAGACAGAGTTTGAGATTGAGTGCGCATGCCATTCAAGAGCAATTTTCTCAAGTGTCAGTTATTTATAGCCTGGACATGTTCGGATTGAAATTGGCTACAATATGGGTGGCGGGAATCGATCAGACCAAATATGGATGTTTGTTTGGAGAGGGAAATTGGTCCCAAATGAGTAATTTCACCTGTTAAATGTCCTCCCCACGCCACACATCCCTTTGTCTCAGAGAAGGATTTATTTTTCAGATTTATAATTTAGGGTTTTATGTTACACCGGTGTGACATAAAGCCTAATTTAACTCCATGACATGCGCGTAAATAATCATAAACACGACCAACACACGACCGGTGGCTCAGCAATTCGATCTGATTCATTATTCTCTATAGGAATTTATAGTTTTACGGACAAGTGTGTAAATGCGCGTGCACTGGCCGTGGTCTGATACGTCTGAGATGCGCGTAATTGGCAATTAAACTGTGAGAGGGGTAACAATTTACAGCTTCTATGTTTTTTGTGAACTTCTAGATATGGATGTGCCTCAGGGGAGATAACTAGGCTAACCAATACCAAAATAGCATCCCTTCCCTTTTTATTTTAATTAATTCAAAGTCAGTCATCTGCCAAAATACTCAAACATATGCCTAACTGGGCAAATGGTTCATTAAAGCGTTACACTGATGAATGGGTAAAAAATAGGCCTACATATTGTGTTGGCATGCTGTTTCTTTTACCTTTCACTACTTGGTGTGAATTATTTTTGACGTGTCTGATAAGCTTTTTGGTTTCTGGGAAAATGAATTTGTATATTGTTACTTAAAACAATTTGTTAAGTCTTCTGAGTGATACCCATGTACTCACAGCTAATGAAGATTACATTATAGCTCAAACTACAACCTCACATAAGCCTGAGTTTTAGTTTTCTTCAGTCTAGCATCAAGGTGAGTCTGTAATGAGTCATGAAGATAAGATATAAGCAAAAACAAAGTCAACTTAAAGCTTAAGAGTAGAGGTGCTAAGCCTTGTTTGAAAGAATTAACATAGGCTGTTGACACTCGTGCACACACATATTCATTACTAAACCCCCTAACCCACCATCATCTGAAATGCATGGGACTGTCTTTAATCAGTGTTTTGGCAATGTGGTTCAGACTTGATGGACATGGTTATTTTTTATGTTTTTGATAGAAACTAAATAAGATCTGTCATTTATCAAGACAATTAACCTTTGTAATTGTCAGACAATACATTTTCACACTCTTTACTTTACTGAATTTATCCTTTGAATCTTTGTCTTTTCAGTGTTTGGGTTCTCCTCATGTTGACTATAATGCCAGCCACCCTTAGTTAGAACGATATCTACGGGGAATTGTATTGTGTCACCAGATGGGTCCCTCACAGGGTTATGTTAGGATGGTGGTCTCTGGAGGGTCTGAGTCATGGTCCTGATGCATTCTAAATGAAACATATTTTTGCCTGTTTGGATAAATATTCCTTTGAGCACTTCATGTCTGACAAGGAGCGAGGATTCCCAAGGTAGTTAAAAGGCTCCTTTATTTGATGAAGTCTGATTGAAAGAGTTACATAATATCCACAAAGCTCCCAGATAATATTCACAGCTCCGTCATCTCGTCTCAACTCAAACACCTCTTCACGGTTATGGATGTGAATATACTGGACGACAAAAATAACATTCATTTAATCCAGCATTGGAAATTTGAAGATCCTCATTTTGTATAATTTTGTGTTATGATGGCCACTGGTACTCAGATACAGTTATACCTTGTAGGTGTCTGGAATAGAAACAACATGAATGAGTGTAAGATTCATATGGAATGTTTACAAATATTTTTAATGGCTTTAGATTTTCTTCCAGTCCAAGATTGTTTGAATGATATGAGATTCGTCACTGCTGGAAGATCAATAAAAGCCTATAAGCTTTCCTCCAGCATAATTTTATATGTAATTTTACATTGATACACCTTAGTATTGCATGAATGGGAATATGGCCGCAGATGAATAACTGAAAATCTTTTACCCTCTATCTACAAAGAAAATGTTTTGTTATGTCTTCTTTGTTAAGGTTTCAATAGGTGTCATTATAGTATACATGAATTTTCTTTATTTTAAATCCATTCAATGTGCTAAAACAATATTTATATTTCTAAACAAAGCAACAATACGGTGAGAAAATAAGTGTGAATTAATATTGTGTGCAGTTTTATTGGTGATGTGTTGTGCATTCACTCACCAATATGTGTGGTCAGGCAGGATGTTGGGCTATTCTGTCATATGTGTTTATGTGAGTGCAGGTTTGTCTCTTGTGCTGCCCTGCACACAGAATGCCACTTTATAAGGTGCTCACTCGCCCCTGTCTGAGCACCTGCCCCTGTCTGAGCACCTGCCCCTGTCTGGGCATCTCCAACTGCTCATTAACTCTCCCTAAAGCTGCAGTCCATAAGTCCACTCAGATTGGATGCTCTATTCCCAGTAGGGACAGCACTGATTTACTGACAGATGGCACTGATCTGATGTGTTTCGGCTTTCTTCCACCTCTGGATCCTCAGGGCAAACTCACTGACGGGGCTATTTCGCAATTTACACAGAGAGTTAGGTTTCATCTATAACTTGTTGTGTCCAGACATTTGTCACTATTCCGAAGGTTATTCACTTGACACACCAATCCTGCTTTTTCTGTTCCGATAACAATATTGATACTTTGGCTTTAAGAATCTGACAGTACCGAGAGACTGAAAATATGAGTGATTGCTATTAAATACAGATGCCGTAGGGTAAAAAAAAATAATACAAAAGCTATTTACAGTTATTTATCATCTAAAGGTGCACTGCATAACATTTCAAGAGGATTGTCCACCACCTGCTTGTCTCCATGGAAATGTTATTGCTTCCTCAATATAGACTAAACCTATCATGAGGTAGGCAAGCAGGTTACAGCACTACGCTACATTACAATTCAGATACATGGAGAGTTGCCCCTATTCACAGTAGGAATTATTGTACTTTTGAGGAGTAATCACCTTTAATGAATAAATGCAAGATGGATATGTTTAATGCCATACTATGGAGCATTCCAGGCAAAGCTATGACATCTCCTTGGAGACGCGCACCTTTAAAATAACTACAGAACGAGGAGTTTTGGGCCAACACTGTCCAGTAAACATTGTTATAATTGTGTACTTTTATTACACATATTTACAGACCAACATAGGATATCGATGAAACTGATGTTGATACAGCAGGTTTCCGATCCTTCAAAATTTTCTATATCAGCACCAATAATTGTGTTAGTGCATTCCCTATTCACTAGTAATAACCCAAATCCATACTTATATAGACAGAATAGGCAATAGATAACAAAGATGATAATACTTATTTTAAAACGTGGGACCTGCAGTTATGAGGCTTAATATTGACTTGACATACACATATATCTGTAAATCTTGAGTCATTATGTAATATATTACGATGTCAAACTTTGGATAGTTTGTTGTTTTTTCACAATAAGTTATAAATAGCAATAATTAGTTGGTGAAAATGGTAGACAGATTGGTTGGCTTATGATTAGAAATGATGGTTATTATGAAAGTAAATAAGAAAGATATAATTAATAAATAAGAAAAATATAATTGGAAAGCTAGATTCTCTTTTAGTTCTCATGTACCAAATTAAAACAGAGGCAGCCTTGGACAAGCCTTGGACAAGAATTAACTGCATGGATTACAAAAAAAAATACCCCCCATGGAGTAATTTTGTGTACAGTCTGCACAAACTGTTTCTAAAAGTTACTTGTGAACATGCTTTTTGCCTTCATTGAATATAAAAATGCCCTCTCTTGCCTGTTCCTGGACAGTGTAAATGGATAAAGTGAATAGTAATTCTGTCTGTCTGTGTGGCGGTGCCTTCATTGTCACTGTGTGTTAGGGAGAGTGACACATTAACTAACAGGCTGAAGCTCTCATTCAATGCTTGTGAGTTGTATATCTGATTTCTCATTTCTATTTTCCTGTTTGTCTCCATTCAGCTATGCCTCATCTTCAGTTTATTCAAATATAGCTGGATATTTCTTGCTAACATCCTCATTGAGCAGGAATAAAAGTCTAGAGGTCAAAGGTTCTATTTGACTTCAAACTTCAAGCTTCTGTAAACAGCACTGGATAGAAAAGTCTTTATAATTAGTTTCAACTGTTTGCACACAGCCTCACAATGATATCACTCATGAACAAATCAATGATTTGTAAGCTTTGAAAATACTTCTTCTCAAATGTGAAGCATTTTAGCTGGAAATAATAACAAATGGACTGACTCTTGTTTGCAGAAACCCAAAGATGTCGAGATATTAATTTTAAGGTGTTTGTGATTCACCATGGAAACTCATGGGGACCAGCATATGGCAGACTCTCCACCACAAATGTTACACAGTGCACCTTTAAGTCTGAGTTCTTTTTTCTTTTGTTTTCTTTTTATTTATTTATTTATTTTTTCCAACAAAACTCAATAAATAGCCCATTATGTTCCAATACATCATATAGTATTTTACAAATTCTTGTCATTAATTAATGTGCTTTGTGTTTTCCTTTCATCAGCAACATACTTTTGTACTTTTAGCTTTAGTTTGTGGATTTCACAGTGGGAGGACGGGTCCAGAGAGGCTGTTCTCTCTGATCTGTCATTTAAGC